CAGCTCTTCACCCCGGGCTGCAGGTGCTCTCTCTGGTTTTCTGCTTGAACAAAGCTGCTGCTCTGAACGTGCTTCACAACCTCCAGCCCACAGCAGACCCTTGCCAAAGTGCTCTCCCCAGACTGCTCAGGAAGGAAAGGGCTCTGCCATCATTCCCACCTCACCCCAGGAGGGTCCCCTCCTCCCTGGGGGATGCAGAGATGCTGCTCTCCTCCTGGAACACATCAGGGTGTCCCTGCTCCCACAGTCCCACTTTCAGGTGAAAATACAATCCCTTCTCTCCCTGTCCTTCTTCCCAAGACCCCAGGAGCTGACACTTCCCACCTCTCCAGAGAAGGGTGTGGAGGGAGAGGGGCTGGATGGGAGAGGATTAATGCCCAGCTGCACCACGGGCAGTGGCATCACCTTTTATTAACGTCCTGTAACAATACTGTAAATACTCCCTGGGAAATAATTACATCCTATAAAAGAAGCAGCAAGCTGTGGTTTGAGCCAGGACTGGTTCGCAACACTTGTTTTAAAGAGACGTTTCATGTCTCGTTTATAGATTAGGTTTTAACCTGACAACCTTTTAACATTGTATTAAATTAGAAATTAACTTTGCACGGCAGCTCACCGTATAATTGAGCCACTGATAGGCCGAGTGCTAGGGAATATTTCAGATGCCTTTCAGACAGCGAAGTTCCCAAGAAAATTCAGAGCCTCCTCCTTGATCTAGACCAGGGCTTTGCTATTAATTACTATTTATGATCAGGTGGCAGGAATGCTTTGCATGGAGGGGGAGCTGGCAGGGAGCAGCATCCCTGCACTGTGCCCATCCCCAGGGATGTGACAGAGGGAAAGAGACGGAGGTGACAGGGAATGCTGCAAGCCCCTGACCCTGCCGTCAGTATTTTAGTGTAATTTCCTGCAGCAGAAATTCCCAAGAAAGGCAAAAATTCAGCCTGGGAACTCACTGACAGATGCACAGCTTCAAATTACAGCGCAGGGAGGGATGGCTGCAGTGGATGGGGCAGCGTCAGTGCCCAGCAGGACGGGCCGGGGGAGATGTGGCACGTCCAGCAGCACCCCTGGGCACAGCTGGAGGAGCTGGGCACAGCTGGGGGAGCTGGGCACAGCTGGAGGAGCTGGGCACAGCTGGGGGCACAGGGGGGGTTTGTACCCTGCCGTGTCCTGCCCTTTGCTCGCACCGGGGTGAAGTTTTGGGGACAATTGAAAGCTGTCCCCAGCAAATGCCGAGCGGGGACAAAGCCGGGGACATCAGCCAGAGCAGGGCTCACCCTGCTGGGCTGGGAGGGCTCCTGAGCCCAGATTTCCGCTGGTATTCAATGAATGCCAGGGACAGCCGAGACTGAGCAGCCCCTGGAGGATTTCCACGGCGGGGACACGGGGGATGCTCTGCCCGGCTGTGCCCAGGTGAGGATCACAGCTCAACCTCCCGGCCCTTCCCATTTCTGTTCCCGGAGCTCCTGCAGTCCCCGGCACCGCACAGACAATCGCTCGTCCCGGTGCCTTTTCCATCTGTGAAACAGCCCAAGCGGTGGATTCAATTATTTTTTTCCTAGCACACAGGCCACTAATCATTTATTGCATTAAAACCACCCCCCCTCGTCTCCACAACTTTTGTTCCCGCTTTATCCAATTAAAACTCAGGATAAAAAAAAAAGAAGGTTTTTTTTTTCTCCTTTTTTTGCAATCACAAAGAGCCGATCTCAGCCCCATTGACTCGCTAATTGTGAGCACTCAAATGGTCGGGTTTAAAGTTACACTTAGCAGCTGTGAAACATTAGGGTGAAGTGATTACAACCTACTGGAGGATACCGAACATTTTTACAATATCTCAGGAGCACAAGGGAAAGACAACAGGAAATGGCGCAAACTTTCCTACCCTGCACAGCAACAAGCCAGAGCGAAGGAGTGAGAAAATAAATGCAGAGACGTGGCGCAAACGTGGTTTGGATGCTCAAAAATTTACTGAGCATCCAGTAATCTCATCTCTGGTGAGAGCACCATGGATTTACCCCTCGCCTGGGCGGTCAGGGAGGACGGGAGCAGCTCCAGGGGTTTCACAGCTGCACTTTGCAGCCACGCTCTGCTCTGGGTTCTCTGCTGAGGAAGGAGGATGGAGATCTTGGCAGTATTCTGCTCTTGGCCAGTCCTTTGCCTTGTCCCAGCAAATGTTCTGGGCCTGGGGAGCGCTGCTCAGGACAGGACAAAGCGGAGTCTGTCCCCTGAGAGGGACAGGGACAGGGTTTACCTGGGCTGGGGCTCAGCATCCCCAGCAAAGCCACCAAATCCCGAGCTCCAGGTGCTCTGCAAAGCACCAGGGAACTCTGATGGTTACACCCAGGCCCTGGACTGGTCCTGAGATTTGATTCCTGAGATTTGATTTCATTTGAACTCCAAGCTGTCACGTTTGGAGAGCCTTTGCCTTCCCACTCCTTTTCAAGCAGCCCAACATCCCCCTCCCATGATTTAAGCCCGCTACATGCGTGTGTTTATTACAGAAACCAGGGTAGGATAAGAAAGCAATATTTCATGTTAATTCATGAAATCTGAACTCAACTTTTAATAGAAGAGCCCCACTTTATGCCCAGAGTGATATACAGTCTGCCCCGCTTTAAATGAGGCGTTTTGCCTTTTGAACTCAGCAGGAGCCCTCTGCTTACGACTACTGGAAACAGTTTAAAAACCTGCAAGTCCCCGTGTCTCTTGGGCTCTTTGGTTTATATCATGGCACAACATTCTTGCTGTGCTGCCAGCTGCTGTGCTTGAGAACCTGGCGTGTCAGAAACTCACCTGGAGAATTTCCACAGCGGCAGGAGCCTGCAGAAATCCTGCAAAGACCATGAGCCTCTGGTTATTTTTAAGTGGGGTTTGGATCAAGTTCCTCGACTGAAAACCCGGTTGTGTCGGAGTCAGGGGCAAACCTCCCTTAAGAGCAGCTTCTAGACTTATCAAGGAACAGAAATATTCTCTCCTGGTGCCTGGAAATGAGCTCTCATACGGCTGCTGAGGTTGAGGAGGAGGAAGGGTGGTGAGGCACGAGACCACCTGGCACCCGGTTGAAATGGGGGGGCTTTTAGGGCCATGGTGGGAGCAGGAGTGTGCTGTGAGTGAAGAACACAGTGCAGGGATGTGCTGCATCAAAAAACGTTACTGATGAATCACATCAAATAAAGTTATTATTGAACCAAATCCTATAAAATTGTCATTAACTCACACCCTTCAGACCTTGGAGTCAGTGGTAATTCTGACCCCACAGAGTTATCAATGAATCAGATCCTATAGAGCAACACACTCAGTTTTCTCTGGCTCACAGAGGAGCTGGAACTCAGTGGTTATTCTGCTGGGTCATCTGTGAAAGTATCAAATTAAAGTTAAATTAGCCACCTCATGGCAATGCTTATTTTTTTTTTTTTTAGGCTCTAGGCTTTCTTAACAGTTTGGCTACAGGGCTATCAACAGCAGGGAATTTAGGACATTCTTTTCAATGAACCAGACTGAAAATATTTTGGTACAGCCCCAGTTTGTAGGGTTTTTTTGAATCTCTTCCCCCCCCCACTTTAAACAAAACATCCTGATTCAAAGGAGCTTCTTGCAGACTGGGAATTTCCACATGGCCATATTGCAGCACTTATAAAAAGTGATTTAATGCCTGCCAACAACAAATACATTTGCAATGACACCACTCGGTGTTATGTGCTATCCTGCTTTGTGTGCTCAGCCAGAGCCAGCCAGGCAGTCCCAGGCAGGAGGGAGAGGAGCCTCTTTCCTTCCTCCACGAGAACTTTGTCCCTTACCCTGCTCCTTGGAAAGCCTGAAAGGAAACAAGCATCACGGTGACAACACAATCCCTTCTGTATGTGTTAATCTGGATTTTGTTTGAACTTTTGGAGCTGACCTTGGCTTGAACTGTGTTAAAAACCCTGACTGGTGTGGACTGACTTGACCCTGCGGTCCCATTTGTCCGTGGTGCCAGTCCTGCCCTCAACCCTGTACTTCAAGCCTTTATTTTACAGACAAAAAGGAACATAACATTACAGCAGATATAGCCAGCGGGCCGGAGCTGCAAGTACTTACTTAGAGGCAAAACTCTCCTCTGATTTCATCCCAAGGAAGTTATTTTTTTTTTGCTTGAGAAGAGACTGACTGCAAACCAAGCAAGAAACTGAAATTATTGCTGCAAACTCTTGCTTTTTATTAGCGGTTTCCAAGCCTGAAGAAAACAAAACCTTCCGAGTGGCTGTGCTACAGTTAAAAGCAAAAAAACCCCAAAAAAACCAACCCAAACCAAGCCCAAGACTGAACTGGGTGTTTGGGGATGGAGTAGGAAGAGGGTGGTTGGTTCTGCATCCCTTGGTGTGGCTGGCTGGAGCTGTAAGATTTGTGGGTTTAGATAGTTTCCTCTCCCAGCCATGACTCAAACGGCTTCTATTAAAAACAAGTAGTGGGAAGGAAATTTCATAAGCTGACAGTCCCATCTCACTCTGCTGCGAGACACAAGTTGGCTGAGATGTAGGAATTTGTGTGGTTATGATGTGTGAGCCCAGGACTGTTTTATCAGCAGGGTTATGCAGTGCTAGCTCTGACTGTGCACGTTCAGAAGGGTGCAGGGGTTCAGGCTGTTCTGCAAAGCCTCTGATCCTGCAACAGAATGGATGGAAATGGGTGCCTCTGCCTCCAGCACCTGGTCCTTGTCCCACTGAAATAGGTGGGATGAAGAAGCAGGGCCCCAAACAAAGCAGGGAGCTGGGTGTTGGTTTTCAGAGAAGCCAAGTGGGTGTGAGGCACATCACCTAAAAACCTTGTTTCTAAAAATCCTGTCTGTGCACAGGAGGACAAGGAAATGGGGAGGCAAAACCATGCTAGACTGGCTGCATAACAGCCACTGATGGCTTTAATTAAAGCCCTCCAATACACACAGAGTCTGGTCCAGGGAGATACACAAAGCCCACAGTCAGCCCAGTAACACTCCATGAACATTGCCATTTAAGCAGTTTCTTGTTTAACTTAGATTTATTCAATGACACATGCATTTCTGGACAGATATCTGAGTTCCAATGAACAACTTTTATAACCAAATATGAGAAATCCGTGACTGCAATTAGTCAATTAAGTACGTTTCTAAAATACATGACTAGAAGAAAACCGGAGCAAGAGAGAGAATTCTTCCAAAGAACAAAAAGAAACATTTCCATTTGTAATACTCCTGGCATCGATGAGTGTCAGAGGGGAAGAAGGGCAGCAAGGAGATGCGATGAGGAAGGAATAACATCATCAACCCTGTCCACAGAAAGTCCTCCAGTTTCCAGTCTCTCCAGTTCATCCATTAATGCTCGGCACTTTCACCAAGGGCGAGAGCTCCTCTGAGTTACAGAGATTCATCTCTCAGCAGGAAAAAGCAGAGCACGGTTGTGAAACCGTGTGCTTGACCCAAGGTGGCTTAGGAATATTTCTCCTCACCCAACCTCTTCCTGAAGACAGCGAGAAAAGAAGCTGCAGAGCTATCAGGACTGAAGATGGAGCCTCTTTGTATTGCACAGGAACACAGAGTCAAGATTTCATGACGGATGTTTCAGGAAGGTTTAAGAGTCGTCGATTTCCATCAGGGTAACGAGAACCATCCCGCGCCGCCGGGAGCCGGCAGGTGACAGACACAGCGGGATTGGCGGGGGGACAGGCTCTGGATCCCCTGGATGTGTCCCTGATGGGCAGCTGGCTCAGGGGAATCCCGTGGGGAACAGGCTCAGGGGCTGGTTCTCGTTGGTCGGGAGCGGGGAGCGGTAGCCGTCGAAGTTGCGGGGGATGCTGCCGCTGGTGGAGCCCGAGCTGTTACTGAGCGTCTCTATGCTTCCCTCTCGCTGAAGCTCTGCAAGGGAGAGAGAGCAGGTCCTGGTTAGTGTTTGGGATAAACCCCCAGTGTCCTTACACAGACGCTTTACTGACAAATCCCTCTGCTGCTGCATCGCTCTAACATTCGCTCATCGTCCTTTTCTGGGCCGATTTGGGAATTGTTCCCATGGAATGCCAGCTCTGGTTCTGCTTCTCCCCAGCTGAGCCAAAGATGGAGGCATTACCTGCTGCCCCTCCCTGGGGCTGTGGCTGCTGACTCAGGACTGACAGGGCTCCACAGGGGGAACCTCACAGCTGAACTGAGCAGGGTATGGAGGGGACGGTGGAAAATCTTCCAGCGATGCTGGGAAGGGGGATTGGCAGAGTGTACCAACAACCACTGCCATTCCCCACCTTGGGAACAACAGGGACTTTCCACAGCCCTTTATCCTGCCCCAATGGACATAAATAACTCAGCTTTTTAAGTCAAAGAGAAAATATCCCCTTTCCTCAGCTGTGCCTCAAAGCAAAAGAGGAAGCAGCCAGACTGTGGCTCTCCCTCTCCTGGTCTCACCCAGCCAGACACCTCCCCTCTCTGACCTCCCCAAGCCTTCAGTGCTCCCTAATCTCTAACCAGGAGGATTTTTGTGTGTGCAGAGCATAATTTCCAGCCGTGGCCTCTCTGTGAGCCACCTGAACCCTGCAGTTGACTTGGTGGCCATGTGCAGCATCCCCCTGGCAGCCCTCAGCGGTGGCACACAGCAGGGATGTGAGGCACAGCCCCAGGGGTGGCACAGGACTCCCCCCCAGGGTGACAGTGGTGACATGAGACAAGGAATGTTCTGGGAAGTTGTGATGTGCGACCCCAGCGTGAATTTGGGCAGCCTGGGCTGGAGGGGACAGGATGGGCACAGGAGTTTTGGGCAAATTCCTCTGCTGCCAAGGGGGGAAAGAGGATCTGGAGGGGCTCCAGGAGAGCTGGAGAAGGACTTTTTATAAGGGCATGGAGTCACAGGACAAGGAGGAATGGCTTTAAATGGGATGAGAGGTTTAGATGGGATATTGGAAAAAATTGTCCCCTGTGAGGGTGGTGAGACACTGGGACAGAGAAGCTGTGGCTGCCCCTGGATCCCTGGAAATCCTCAAGGCCAGGCTGCACTGAGCTTGGAGCAGCCTGGGACAGTGGGAGGTGTCCCTGCCCATGGCAGGGGTGAAATGAGATGAGTTTCAAGGTCCCTTCCAACCCAAACCTTTCTCTGGGTAAATGTAAGACTTATCTGGGGTGGAAAGGAGCTGCAGGAGCTGGAGGAGCAGTGCCTGCTCTGCTCTCTGCTAAATATTCCTGCCCTTCCACTGCCTCACCTGGGATATTTAACCTCCTGTGAACACCACAGCAGGCCTTTGGCTGCAGCAGGACTCTGTGATAAAGACAGATTTATACACAAAGTCTAAGGAACAGCAAAAAGTCAGCTTTTCCCTGAAGCAAAAAGCATCCCACCCCAGCATCCCCTGGCACTGCCCTGCTCCCCTCAGCAGCCCTGCACACACCTAGCAGCCAGGGCTGTGGGATTTAATCCCTCATCCTGGAGGTAACCTGCAGGAGATAATCTGCCCAGGATACAAGGAAAACAAATCAGCAGGAAGCTGATCACCCTGAAAGCAGCGCTGATAATGACCTCAGCTAGATTCAGCACCATTTTCTTGCCAGTATTTGGTGAAGGAATGTCCATGTCTAAACCTCTTCATTTTCCTCACATCCTTACTCTCCCATGAGTCCAGGAAGTAAAAACAGTAATTTAAATCAGAAATGAGTGGCGTATCCCACACTAATACTGTGCTTATCCTGTCTGATTTGGGGCTTTTATCTCCCTCAGCACACAGCTGGCTTTGCTTAAAGGTCCCACGTCAGGGCTGGGGGCGCTGGGCAGCATCGCTGGGCTCCCCCAAGGCCCGGCACGGCTCCTCCCGGGCTCATTCCCCTCTCTTTTCCAGCCAGAGCTGATTTCCAGGCAAAGTGTTTCCAGCAAGACGAGGGAGAGGGACAGAGAGAGGAGTTTTGTTTTCCTGTGGCTCCTGCGTGGCTGTTCCTGCCCCTGGGGGCCGAGCTCCTGCCCGGTGCCTGCTGTGGGACCCTGCGCCCTGCCCGCCTGGGATTTGGGGGGATTTGGGGGGATTTGGGCCTTTCTGGGGTCTGCAGGGTTTCTGCAGCTGGCAGCTGCTGTCACCTCTGCGGTGCCTGCCAGGGGGTGGCACTGCAGAGACCGATGCCAGCCAGGGAAAAACCAGGGAGCAGAAATCAGGGATGTGGAGCCACAGGGCCTGGATGGATGGAGGGAGTCCTGTCCCGGCTGCATCCCCCAGCTCTGAGCTGTCCTGAGGCAGCAAAACCTGGCAATTCCTGACGGGGAGGCCGGACAGGCAGGGCACAGGAGGGGATTTTCCAGCCCAGTCTCGGTTAGGGGTGTCAGGCTCAAGCTGCCATCCCAGGGCACACTCGGACACCGGCCCGGTGCTCTCACACAGCCCGGCTCGCTCTGGAACCAATTATCCGGCCAGGCAGACGAGCAGGGGATTCTGATACCCGAGGAAACCCTGGAAAAGCTCGGCTGCTGCAGAGAGCTCCGCTGTGCTCAGGAAATTGGGCTCTTGGCCTCATCCCCGGGCGGCTCCCGGGCACGGCTGGGTCACACCAGGGGGACAATTAGCCATTACATGGTCACCAGGGACCACCTGCCCGCACAGCTGACCCCAGCACCACGGGCAGCACGTCTGCCAGCGCTCCCTCAAATTGCTCTGTTTCATTAATAAAAAAGAAATTAAAAAATTACATAAAAATCCAGAGTGGATTATTATTCTTTCTCCCAGCCCTTGGAGCAGACTGGGGCACGGCAGAGGAACGTCAGTGAGATTCCCAGGGGAAGCACAGACAGGAGGGGGAATGGCTCCATGGCATGGGGACACCCTTCCTGTCACAGAGTGAAAACCAAAGGACAGTTTCTCATAGATCTGGACACACCAAACAAGTGCAGCAGGAGCTGTGGGCTGGGGCTGTTGGCTATCAGGACAGACAGGACCCTAAAGCCACCCCGAGCCCCTGTGGCACAGCTGAAGGACCTGAAACACCTCCCAGCCCAAAAGGACACCACTGATACCCTCTGTGCTGGGAACAGGCTGAAAAACACAGAACAGCAGCAAACCCCCACAGAAAGATGGGAGAGGGTGTCAGGAGAGCCCAGAGCAGCAGGATGAGGGCTCATCCAGGGCTGCCCAGGCAGTGATTCCGTTCACTCCTGTGGAGTTACGCCAGCAATGGACTTGGCCCCAGCAAGTCTGAGGGTTATTGTATCTGCATTCCCCCATGCATACACTGTCGAGATGTATTAACTTCCTTAAATGTACCAGTAAAACAACCTCTTACGATACACTTTAATGAACTTGTACAGTAGCCAACAAATTGTGCATCATATAAAACCCATTCGGCCTTATAGACTCTCTGGCTATTTTGTAATAACTGCAATTTGCTTCTGCTGAAGCAAGATAACCAGGGTTGAGAAGTCAGGCTTTGCAGAAACCTAAATATTTGATTTGGGGGGAGTGGGTGGGAGAAGGAAGAAAGGGGCCTCTGGGAGCTATTTATGGGGTCAAAATAACATGAGACCTGCTCTTCTCGTAGCGTTTCCACCATCAAGGAAATGAAATACTGTGAGAAGACCAGCACTTGCATTATTTTGGCCCCATAAATGGCTCCCTGAGGCTTTCAGAAGCCCGTGAAAAACAAACACAAATACAAATAAATGCTAATACTGGAAACGTAAATACTAAAACCTGCCCATGTCCCCGGAGGAAACGACTCACAAAGTCTTGCCTGCCCTAAAAAAAAAAAAAAAAAAAAAAGGGAAAAAAAGACGAAGGAGTTGGAACATCTGCTGAAGGCATGAGGAGAAAGTCACTTCAGGGGAGCTGGGAACAGCCCCGCCTGTGCTTTTGACAGTAACAGTAATGGGCACCGCTGGCATCACCCAGGGTCCCAGAGTAACGGGATTTTCAGGGCACACACACTTCCCACCGTGGTAGAAGCAGCAGCAGCAGTGAAAATCCTCGTGGCTGCTGGTGTGGGATGGCAAGTGGCCACCCTGAGCCCCCGGCCCACCCCAGGGCAGCCATCGCCTGTCACGGCCCAGCTCGGTGCCTGCAGGAGCACAGGGACAGCGTTGGGGCACCAGAGGAGCCTGCAGGAGCACAGGGACAGCGTTGGGGCACCAGAGGAGCCTGCAGGAGCACAGGGACAGCGTTGGGGCACCAGAGGAGATGGCAGCAGATGTTGGCTGCCCCTGCTTGGCATCGCTGCCCTCCTGCAGTTCTGCCAGGAATCGGAAAGGAAACCTTGCAGGAAAGGTTTCTTTGTGCCGATATTCCCGAGTGCCATGCTGCAGCCAGCCTGTCCTGCCCTCTGCCCGAGCCACGCTGCTCTCCCTGAGCTGGCTGCCAAGGTGCAGGGAGGAGGAAGAGGAGGAAGAGGAGGAGGAAGAGAAGGAGCCGCTCTGGGGACAGCCTGGGGTGTGCAGGTCTGGGAGAGCATCACTGCCCTCCATTCCAGAAAGCTCCAGGAACTGTCAAAGGGCCCCATCAAATCCAGCAAGGTACAAAGCCCTGCCAAGCCTAAATGTGAAACCATTTTATAGGGCACATTAATTCAATGCCTGAAGAAAATCCATATAGCCCTCTTTTGCCTGGAACACTCATAAATTATGCTGCCTTTCTTAGCCGTGCTCTCCTCTAGTGGTCCACTTGAAGCCCTGGTATCTCCTTTATGTCCACTCAAAAATCCCCTCTCCGGTGCATTATTATTTCTTCTAATGGTTTTTCCTTTCTCCCTGTTTGCCTTCCCCTCTTTAAGCACAGTTTCAAAATATCCCAAATCATTTGCTGGAAGAGCTGACCCTTTCCTCTTACCTACGGAGGGGCTGCCCGGGATAACTGATACAATGACAGCAGCCTGATGTGTCAGGGCAGCGGGGAAGCGGCAGCAACTCTGAA